ATTGTTTCTATGTATTTATTGTTTCTAATAGCTTCTTGTTCCTAGTAGTAAGGCACTTATTACTAGTAGCGATGCACTTGCTACTAGTAGCTTATTGTTTCTAGTTATTTCTTTTTTCTAATAGCTTCTTGTTCCTAGTAGCGATGCCAGGAGCCCCTAGTAGCGTCCGATCGCTCCTAGTAGCGATGCCCCTTGCTACTAGTAGCGTCCTTGTTTCAGGTTCCCAAGCATTCTGTGGCAGGAACATCCAAGTTGACACAGGATTTGCAGAAGAAGATGCGAGAAACATCGCACATTTTGCATTTTTCATTGGTCATTCGCGCCAAAGAACCGATAAATTTGGAAGGGACTAGGACAAGGACGCTACTAGTAGCAAAGGGCATCGCTACTAGGAGCAAGGACGCTACTAGGGGCTCCTGGCATCGCTACTAGTAACAAGTGCATCGCTACTAGTAACAAGTGCATTACTACTAGGAGCAAATAGCTACTAGTAGTAATGCCCTTGTTACTAGTAGCATTCTTGCTCCTAGTAGCGAGGCCAGGAGCCCCTAGTAGCGTCCTTGCTCCTAGTAGCGATGCCCTTGTTACTGCTAGTGTTGTAAAGATCGCATTTGCCAGGCGCGTCAAGCGCTAGGTCTTCGGCTCAGAAGTGGAGCAACGATGGGATGAGAGCAGTGTTGCCGTGTTCATCCCGAGGAGAGACATGTTGGATGCCGACAACAACATGGACCCGGGAGTGCCCGCACCGGCCTTAGAAACTCATCATTAGCAGTTCTCATATCGAAACTTTGCCACAAGGCTCCAAGCACATTCAGGGTCTATGAGGCCATTTGGAAGCTTAATAGTGTTTGGTTTTTGAAGAGCAAGCTGGGCCGGTCACACCTTTACCCTCCCAAGAGGCCCTTTTTAGGAGGCCCTCTCATTGAACATGGCAGGTGTGGCGGAACTTTGGTGGCCGCAATCGGTTCTTTTGCGGTGGCAGGTTGGTCGGGTTGGTGGTGAGGTGTGCAGGACTTTCTACTTGGCGGATGAACATGGCAGGTGCATAGCTGGACCTAGTATAGACCTGCACTTCCAGCTGTGTGCTTGGGGCAGCATGCTTGTGCTGCATCCTCAGGTGTGGACTGGGTCCATCAGCATTCTTGACACCATTGATTCTGAGTGATTCAGTCCACATCGACTATACTGGAAGTTTTGCACTGTGGTTGCTCAAAGAACCAAATTAATCATGTGAAGGGTTCTTCCAGAAGCTCCCCTGACCTCAGGACGGGGGAAGCTTCCCTTGAAGCCCTGAGCCTTTTTCGCGTTTGCTGACTAGGCTTACCTTCCTACATCCTCCTTACCCCTCCCTTTGCTCACACTCTACCCTACTCTACCCCCAATATATAGCCTTTAGAAGCACAAATTGCAAACAATTGCTTTTCGAGGCCTTCGCTCTTTTACCTCATCTTTTGCGCGCCGTGCACTTGACCAAAGATCACGGCATAAGCGGCAACAGTAGCCTTCCGAATGCACCATACGATGCCCTTTGTGCTTCCAGTGTATCCAATGTCAGTCGAAAGCTGAGGCGCTATCTCTGGCACGCAGGGGTCCTATGTGGATTTGAAGTGGATTGAATATCTTTGAATATCCTCATCCACCAGAACTTCAATTGTTGATGTGTGCAGCGAATGGGAAAGGAATGTCTTTTGGCCAACTTGGCCATGTTGGTTACTAGTAGCGTCCTTGTTCCTGGTATACCCAGTTGGTGCCAAGGTGAGCCCTTGGATGCCCGTGTTGACATGCATCATGCTGGCTTCGACCGTGGTTCTGTGGCTCCTGACGGCTTGCACTGACCCAGGAGCCCACCCCCCACCGAAGACAAACGAGACGAACAGATACCAAAATGGACAGACACAACACGAGAGGGAGCTTTTGTCTTCACGCAAGGGATTCCAAGTTTTGCTGAAGCAACTTACCAAGTTGTCGCAAGAAGCTACTACGGGCTCCTGGCATCGCTACTAGGAGCGATCGGACGCTACTAGGGGCTCCTGGCCTTTACTACTAGGAGCAATGTTTGCTACTAGAAACAAGGGCATTACTACTAGGAGCTATTTGCTCCTAGTAGTAATGCACTTGTTACTAGTAGCGATGCACTTGTTACTAGTAGCGATGCCAGGAGCCCCGAGTAGCGTCCCTTTGCTCCTAGTAGCTTCAAAGATCGGAGCGCCTCACTTTGGTAGTAACCAGAAGCTACATATTACAATTTTAGATTAATTCTTATTGTTACTACTAGTAAGGCACTTGTTTCTAATAGCTTCTGTTTCTACTAGTAAGGCACTTGTTACTACTAGCGATGCCCTTGTTACTAGTAGCTTCAAAGATCGGAGCTCCTTAGAGACTTGCCTCACTTTGACCATGCCGAATTCCTGCTTCGCATGTTGGCCCAAGTCTGGAGCGCGCAGCTGTGTGGACTTCCCTGAAGGCTCAAATGAGTTGTTTCAAAAGGAAAAGAAATGAAAGGTCAAACAGAACCTACTAGCGATGGCCTCCAACCCAATAAGTTTAAAGTCCAAAAGCAAGAATGAGAAAAGCGATAGAACCATCTAAAAAGGGGCACTGGGCTTTGCATGGCCTTTTGATTGGTAGGTGAGGGTCCTGAGCACGAATGTGGTGGGCATATGGCAGAACCGGGCTCAGACATCCAAAACCAAAGCCACACACCAGTGGCTAGCAGCGAGCACTGCAACATAGTGCAAGTCATAAATAGTGCAGATTGGATTGAAGAAAGCACCGCGTGGAAAGGCAAGACAAAGATTGTTAAAAAAATAGACCCCAAAGGGCAGAAAGAGTGAAAGTGCGCTCCTTTAACATTTCGGAAAGTCGAACGCTTTGGGTTTTCGCCTTACACCCCACCGACACAGGTGCCGAGGGGTGAGTTAATAGGATGAGAACAAAGTTAGAGCAAGATAAAATTCGATCAAGCAATTATATAGAATAGTAAATCAGAAGTGATTCATTTAGACAATATTTGACATGTGTTGCAAAAATGTCTAACATATTTCAAAACGTGTTGGGTCTTGGGCTTCGCTACCTGGTGCCAACTGCGATACAAGGATTGGAACAGAATGAAAATGTCAACCAAGTCTTGGTCGCAATGCGTCACGAAACACGAAGCACCATGAAACGCAATGAAGAGCGCTTCCTGAATGCGCATTTTTAGACCATTCACATCACTCCCAAGGCGAAGCATCACCAAGCACTGGCTCGAGTGCGACAACCTCTGCATCAGAAGTACCAGCAAGGTGCATGTCCGCTGAAAAGGTGCTGGGAATATGAATAGACGTTTTTCTTGCAGTGTGGGTATGCTGCTATGAAGCGGGGAGCAAGGCTGCCGTAGACGGGGTAGCTAGTAGCAAGGAAAGGTACTAGGGACCGGAGACAGGGCGGCCTGAGGGCAAGGGGGTGCTTCCTTGAAGAGCACTTCGCATGATTAAGTTGATTCTTAATTTAGTTGAATTCTTTAGCACAAAGGAAAAAGCCCGTGAGACAAATTTGAGGCGGACGCCCTTGTCCGCAAAAGCACGGCCGTTTAGAAGCTCTAGCTTTGCGTCGGCGTCTCAGTTGTTTCCGATCACGTTGCGGCCCAGATTTCGACTTTTGGAAGCAACTACGGGAATTCCCACACAATATGTCAATTTGTTACATTGTGAATCTCCAGCAGGGTCTCGCAACAAACATGCCCGACCCAAACCGCAGGTCTGTCGAAGATGGTGAGATGGGGCGGAACCCATATGGTACTTACAATCCGGAGTGTCCTGGCAGCAATGTTGCGGCTTTTGCTGCACAGTTGATCTTCAGGAAGTACTCTTGTTCATGGTTGACTCGAGATTGACGTGCTACAAAAACGGCATGCCTTGCCGCATGCACTATGAAGCAAGTAAATTGCTACTTGTTGGAACAGCAAGGGGTGGATGCACTGTCAGCAGGGCGTCCGCACACTTAGTGTAGAACGTCGATGAACGTTGACGCACTCGTATGTTAAGGCTGCAAGACTACGTGCGCACCCAAGCATTCTGTTGACTCTGTACATTGCAAGGTGTTCGGTCTCATAATGACGGTGTAGCGGGGACCCACTTCACTTTCCCAGCTGAAGGTGGCGAGTGTAAGCAACATGAATGTGCAGCTTGAAAACGAGCAGATTGATGAACGGATCCTTTCGGGGGCTTCGGGATGTTGGGGGCATTGGCTTTGCCTCTTTGGCCTGAGGTCTATTTGAATATGGGAATGCCGCCCGTCGATGAGACATCAGGATTTGGAACTTCAAGTGCAAAATGATGAGCATTTGAATCATTGATGTTGAGCTCAACTTCAAAAGTCTAGGAACCAACTCAATGATGCGAGGGGCTCTTCAAGGAAAACTCGCCGCCTTAAGGTGGCGGGGAGCTTCCTTGAAGCCTGAGCTTTCTGCGTCCCAGCTACTGTACTAGTAGCGATGGCCTCCAACCTAGAAGCTTCTTGCTCCTAGTAGTACGGCCAGGAGCCCCTAGTAGCGTCCTTGCTCCTAGTAGCGATGCCACGAGCCCCTAGTAGCTTCCTTATGCTTCCTTGCTACTGCTACATTTGCTACTAGCTACTGACTGACGAGCTACTTTCTTGAGCTACTTGTTGCTACCCCTTCGCGGCCTACCCCCCCCCATTACCTAAATTATTTAACTAGTTATATTGTATATTGTATATATTGCATTTAGGTTGGAGGCCACTGCTCTTGGGTTGCAGGGTATTTTGTGCTAGTAGGTTGGAGGCCGCTATTGGATCTAACTACTTAGTTATAACTATGTCATTTACTTTGAGCATTCCTAATAGCTTCTTGTTACTACTAGTAAGGCACTTGTTTGTTCGGCTAGTGATGTTCTGTTTCCAGCCACGGCTCGGTGCAGGAGGGGCAACTTTTAGCCACGAAGGGAGCAGAGACGAGGCCAGAGAACTCCGGTTTGGACAGAAAAGAAAAAAGAACAAAAAGAAACACGGTGACCCGGTGGTTTGTTTCTTCTGTGGTGTTTTTCTCGGTGCCTTGCCTCTCCAGCCCCTTTTTGCAAGTGACCAAGTGTGCATGCCTTTGAGTAGTGCATTGATGACCAGAATATACCAGAGTAACATGGAGTAACATGGACTGGGTTCGAATGCAAAACAAGCTCTTGATGGCTACAGTCCTTTTGATTTGCTGAATTCCTGCCCAAATCTCAAACTGCGCTGGTTCTTTCATTCCTTACAATAGCAAGAAAGAGAGAGAGAGAGAGAGAGCGAGACAATGGCTTAATGAAAACACTTTGGATGGATCAGGCCACTTTTCAAGAGAAACCCATGCGCTGACATAAGTGATTAGAGACCCCATAGCTGTACAAGCTCAGCAGCTGTTCTTTTCCAGGTGTGTGGACACAGTTGATATTTGTCCGGACGACTATGACTATGACTGACTATGTATTATATTTATGGAGATGAGTAAGTGGTGGAAATACCAGCGGCAAATCTCCGACGACTGACTGCCAGAACCAACTTTTTGAGCAAGAACCCCGAATATGTTTGTCGGGTTCTCTTTGAGATTTTGTGCCATAGTTGAAATGCAATTCCCTCAAGATTTAGGAGACATCTACAAGAGAAATGATATATATATATTGCGTCTGTCCTTTTCTTCTTTAGGCCTTTAGGTTTGTTTTTTCCATTTTCCCTCAAGACCAGCAGGAAAGGTTTCTAGACGAACTCTGTTCTTCTTTTGTTAGATTATCATCGGATATGTTGTCCTTTTTTCTTTCGTGGTTTGTGTAAGTTCCATCAAGATCTAGGAGACGCTTCCTTCTTTTCTGTATTTCCTGTCCCATTTCCTGTTGTTCTTTCCTTGTAAGTTTCCTCAAGATCTTGAAATCCAGGCGAGGTTTTAAACATAGACTGTGTTGTGTTCTTTCTTTGCACCTTTAGACCGTCCTAGTCGTTCTTGTTAGGTTTCCCATGTATGCTCTTGATGTGTCGCTTCTCGCAGATCTGAGAGACATGTTTCAAATGCTATTTTGGGGGTTGGTTTTTGCATCCGAACGCTCATGTTTGGCTGTAGTCATAGGGCCGGTTGCATAGTGACCAATCTACAAAGTCCTGATCTTCCTGAAGGGGACCTGGCGTAGCTTTGGGACCGTGACTGCGTTTGTGCCACAAGGGAACAACTGTAACCAGAGGTCCCCACCCGAGCTTGGCAGATAGGGCACATAGATGTTACACAAGAAGTTACGTTTTCAGCAGCTGAGATTTCATAGTGCGATTGGAATGGCATGTTACGCCCTGTTACGACTTCTGAACTTCACCTCCAATCTACTGTTGTTGAAGTCCTTGAAGATTACAGCAGAGACCGTTGTTACATGCTGCTGGATTTGGTCAGTTTGTTGACCTGTGGTATGATGAAGGGATGACCCTCCTTTCAAGTCCGGAGTCTGGAAGATGGAAGGTGTGCGCAGGTAAAAATGACTAATTCTAATGGCTTCTTGTTACTACTAGTAAGGCACCTGTTACTACTAGCGTGGCACCTGTTACTACTAGCGATGCACTTGTCTCTAATTGTTTGGTGTTGGGGTAGAAGAGGATGTAGCAGATACGATATTTGTTAACACAGTCTTTCCCAGGACGGAGTGCAATCCAAAAAGGTAAACTTAGATCTTGAGCACTTGGAGTGCCCAACAAGTCAGTTGCCAGCAGATCTTGAATACCGGCCCTGTGGGTTGCGATGATGCCCTGTGGGTTCATTGGATGCTATTCCGATATCGAAAGGAATTGGCATTGTGTGCTACTTCGCTGACAGATGCGGGATTTGTTTGG